AAGCAGGCCTGGTAGTGACAAAATCTCTAAGCAATTGCTTTTTCATAAAGGATTTTATTTCTCCTTCACTTATAAAGCTTAGTTTGGCTGGATATGAAATTCTAGGTTGAAAGTTCTTTTCTTTAAGGATGCTGAATATTGGCCCCCACTCTCTTCTGGCTCATAGGGTTTCTGCTGAGAGATCTGCTGTGAGTCTGATGAGCTTCCCTTTGTGGGTAACCCTACCTTTCTCTCTGGCTGACCTTAGCAATTTTTCCTTCATTTCAACCCAGGTGAATCTGACGATTATGTGCTTTGGGGTTGCTCTTCTTGAGGAATATCTTTGTGGGGTTCTCTGTAGTTCCTGGACTTGAATATTGGCCTATCTCGCTAGTTTGGGGAAGTTCTCCTGGATAATATCCTGAAGAGTGTTTTGCAGCTTGGATTCATTCTCTCCATCACATTCAGGTACATCTATCAAACGTAGATTAGGTCTTTTCACATAATCTCATATTTCTTGGAGACTTTATTTCTTTTCACTTTTTTTTTCTTTTCACTCTTTTTTCTCTAATCTTGCCTTCTCATTTTATTTCATTGAATTGATCTTCAATCTCTGATATCTTTTCTTCTGCTTGGTCAATTCAGCTATTGAAACTTGTGTATGCTTCATGAAGTTTTTGTGTTGTGTTTTTCAGCTCCATCAGTTCATTTATATCCTTCTCTAAGCTGTTTATTTTCATTAGCATTTTGTCAAACCTTTTTCAAGGTTCTTAGTTTCTATGCATTGGGTTAGAATGTGTTCTTTTAGCTCAGAGAAGTTTGTTATTACCCACTTTCTGAAGCCTGTTTCTGTCAATTCATCAGATTCATTCTCCATCCAGCCTTATTCCTTTGCTGGTGAGGAGTTGTAATCTCTTGGAGGAGGAGAGGCATTCTGGTTTTGGGTGTTTTCATCCTTTTTGCACTGGTTTCTTCCCATCCTTGTGAATTTTTCTACCTGTGGTCTTTGTGGTTGGTGACTTTGGGATGGGGTCTCTGAGTAGGCATCCTTTTAGTTGCTGATGAAGTTATTTCTTCCTGTTTCTTAGTTTTCCTTCTAACAGTCAGGCCCCTCTGCTATAGGACTGCTGGAGGTCCACTCCATACCCTGCTTGCCTGGGGATCACCTGCGGTGGCTGAAGGACAGTAAGGGTTGCTGCCAGTTTCTTCTGTTATCTTTGTCCCAGAAGGATACCTGCCAGATATCAGCCTGAGCTCTCCTTTATCAGGTGTCTCTTTGGATAATACAGGGGTAGGGGAGCTGCTTGAGGAGACAGTCTATCCCTTATAGGAGCTCAAGTGGTGAGCTGTGAGCTCTGTTGTTCCATTCAGAGCTGATGGGCAGGTATGTTTAAGTCTGCTGCAGCAGAAGTCATAACTGCCTTTTTTCCCCTGGTGCTCTGTTCTGGGAAGATGAGGCTTTATTTATAAGTTCCTGATGTGCTGCTGCCTTTTTTCAGAGATGCCCTGCCCAGTGAGGAGGTAGCCTAGTCACAGTCTGCCAGCAGAGGCATTGCTGAGCTGCCATGGGCTCTGCCCTGCTGCTATGTGAACTTCCTTGCAGTTTTGTTTATAGAGGTATAGTTAGAACTTCCTTGGTAATGGTGGATTCCCTCGTTAATGGCAGACTGCCTCAGTAATGGTGGACTGCCTCAGTAATGGACAGTCCCGGATCCAGCTGTGCTTGCTGTGAAACTCTCAATCCAGAACGTTTCAGATTGCTGGTCTTTGTCAGGGTGGGACCTGCCTAGCCAGATCACCTGGCTCCCTGTTTCAGCCCTCTTTTTTTCAGTTGAATGGGTGACTCTGTCTCCCAGGCATTCCAGGTGCCAGTTGAAACAGCTGATAAGATGTGTGTGAGTTTTTGTGTGGATACCCACTGTACCAGCTGAAACAGCCATGTTGGAGACTCGTGGAACTTTTCTGCCTGGGAATCTCCTGGTCTGTGGGCAGTAAAAACTCGTTTGGAAATTCAGTGATCACTCATCCTCTGAATTCTTGCTGGGAACTGCACTCCAGGGCTGTTCCTATTCGGCCATCTTGGATCGTCTCTCTGGTCTCCATCTCTTGACCTTGTGATCCACCCTCCTCAGCCTCCCAAAGTGCTGGCAAAAATTATCTTATATGGAAACAAACAAATGCATTATGAAGAAAAATGCAAAATTGGCATAAATTTGAAAACATGGAATCTCAAAAATAGAATACCTGTTGAGGACTGCTATGAACTAGATACTTCACCCCACTCCCTTTGTGGGTGCTCACTTTGGATTATTCTGGTGTGAAAAGGTCAAGTAATTAGAATAATTCATGGCGGTTGCCTTCTGAAAACTGAGGGTCTTTGTGGGTCTAGATTTGCCTTCTGTGGTTTCCACATACTAATGTTTTTTCCTTAGCAATGAAATGCAAATTATTCTCCTAGAAAACCAGTATATTGATGTTTCAGCAAAGCAATGAACAGATGTTTTGCTTGAAATGATTTCTAATTAATGCTTTATAAATTGCTGGAGTTTAAAATAGTCAGCTAGGTAATCAGAGTTAGCCTTGATTTCCTATCTTACTGGGCCACTGGGAGAGATGGGGCAACCAGGATAACCTCAGATTTTCAGAATCTTCAGATACCATTAAAACTTGTACCTCAGTTACCCTGTCCTTCACTCTCTGCCCTTCTTTCACTCCATCTTCCTGTTGTGTCTTTATTTTTTCATGTATGTTTGTAATATTGCAATCAGTTAAAAATCCAGTTTGTCATCCTTACCAGCTTTTCAAGGTGAAACAAAGTAGCTTCAAATTTTGGCTTGGTTATTTGTGTGAACTTCAGCGAGTTAGTTAATCTCTTGAAGCCTCTGTTTGCCTCAGCTGGAAAATGTTGATTGTTTCTGCATCAAGTAGAGATCCTTCTGCTGTAAATACTAGAAAACTAATCCCAAACAGAATTCCCTGGCTCACATGAGTGGAAAGGCTGTGGGTTCTCATTTTAGGCATATTTTGATTCATTACTCAATAGTCACCCGAGGACCCAATTTTTAAACTGCAATTCCTTAGTCTTGACTCCAATCTCAGGCTTCAAATGGTAGAAAGACACATTTGCCCTATTCCCTACACATCTCAGGCTAGTATCCTAAAGGAAAGCCAGCCAGCCTCTGTCCCTGCATTCCTAGTGGAAGCCTCACTGGGTCTCACTGAAGCTGATTGGGTCTTGTGCCGATCCCTGAACCAATTACTATGATGAGGGAAATAGGAGGTGTTGATTGGCTCAGCTTAGGTCACATTACTCGCTCTTGCCCAGGACATGGCCTCTATTGGATGCATTTCCACCACGGGTTAGAGTAGAGTATCCCCAAGCCTAGTCAGTCAGAAGTTGCTAGAAAAAGAGAGTAGATGTTGAAAGGAAAAAGGCAAATGTTTGCTCTCACATCTCTCTAACACATTTGTCTTGTGGATAATGAATTGAAGTAAAGATTGGTACAACTACCTAGCAAAAGTGATGCATGCTGGGGAATTAATGTCAGTTTTTTGCCAGTGTCTCCTCTCTGGCAATACTTTGGCTATTGCTGCTTTCTCTTTGTTCTTTTGAGATTTTGTCCACGTTTGCAACAATTCCTCAATTGATACTTCTATCTCCAGTTCCAACTTCTCGTCACAGTTTTAGTCCTGTGTCTCCAACTGACTTTTGATCAGTGCAACCTACAGATCAGTGGAGTCCACATCAGAAACCTAGCTCATCATCTGGATCCTTAAATAAGATCCTTATTCCTGAATCCTTCCCTTCTGCTCTTGGGTCCCACGCATCCCATTAGGTACTAAAATGGCCTTGATCCCATGTCCATTTTCATTTTCACTTGATTCCCAGATCATTAAAATGACCTTTTCACTTCCCTTGTGAATTCTGAGGGTCACTAAGGATGGAAATCTGGAATCCCACTGCCTGGGTGTCATACTTTGGTTATAAGTCTTAAAAACTGCATGAATTTGAGTAAATAACATCACCTTCCTAAGCCTCAGCTTCCTCATCTGTAAAATCAGTTTTTCTAAATGTATAATTTCAATTTAAATCACGTGTCCCTTGATAAAGGACCCAACCTTTGGAGCAAGGTGTGGGCAGTCAGGTTTGTATGATCTGCTGGGCTAACTACTCTGTACTGTCTCTCCTATGCCATTTGACTTAGTTTATGATTTACTTCACTTTCTTTTTCCCCCATTCGGCAGCAGATATTTTTGATTTAGAGAGTGTTGGCCAACTCTGTAGAAATGCTACTTTCACACCTGTGGAATATCATGTTGCCTGACATTCATTTCTGTAGCACTTCTAATCCTCTCCGGCTCTGGGATATGTAATTATAAACACCCCTTCTCAGCTCTGGCTGCTGTAGTCCCACTGCTGGATTGCTTGTCTGTTTCCTCCTTACCTTCCAGTGACCCCTTCAGGGGTTGTTACCTGTGAGGTGTATTTCTCAATACGAGGCAAATGTACTAGATGCCATCACAGGCTCATCTACAAGAGCCAAAGGGTGTGTGTTGAGTTACCAGTGGGGCAGGGCTTTACTGTGAGTGGCTTAGCAGCCCCATATGGGGTGATGTAAGGACTCAGAGTGGAGAGACAGGGAACACACCTGGTTGGCCATACTGCATATGTGTCCTGTCCAACATAACAGTCACTAGCCGCAGCTACATGTGGTGATTTAAATAAAAAATAATTAAAATTTTTAGTCCTTAATTGTACTAACCACATTTCAAGCGCCCAGTAGCTACTTGTGGCTCATGGCTTCTGCTTTGGACTGCACAATTCCATCATCCCAGAAAATTCTACTGAATAGCACTATTTTGAAGTGGGGAAACAGGAGCAGGTATGCTGGGCCCTCATCCAAGGCTGCCAGAGAGAAGCAAGGGCTTTGACCCCTCAGCCAATATGATGTGGACGGGGGAAACTGGTTTGGTTTCAGAAGCAGACACTGGACATGGCAGTGCAAAGCATCCAAGGAGTATACAAGTTGAGTGAAGCATCTTTAATGCTATGCAGGGAGGGTGGTCTAATATTTTTGGCAAACTACAATTTTGAGAGATTCATGGCAGATGGGAGCTCCCAGGAGAGAATCCCTGTAGTGAGTTCTTTACATAGTTTATTTCATTCAACCTTAAAGGGAAAGAATATTACTTTGACTTTGTAGATAAGGAAACTGAGCCTCAGAGCAGTGAATCTAACTGTAAGCTTTTCTTAACTGCCCTGTACTGCCTTAATATTGGGGAAGAAGGACTTGGGGGAGCAGCAGGCTGAGTTCTTGGTGGGAAGTTGGCTTGAATCAAGCAGAGTGTCTTGGATTGGGGCTTGGGCCAGCTCTCCAGCTCTCAGAGGACTGAAATGTAAGACAGAGGAGTGGGCTGGGGCAAGGTGGGGATGGGACGGACCTAAATTTGCAGGTGATGCAGATGTCTCAAGGTGCATGCAGATCTTATAGGTGATGCATTCCTCAGATTCAAGAACAGAAATGCAAGTCCAGGGCTGTGCAGCAATGCTTACAAGTGGAACTTGGGGCCACACAGCCCTTCTCTATGTTCCAGTTTTGCCATTTATGACTTTGCACCAGCTGAGGTGACCTTTCTGTTTCAGTTTTCTCATCTGTAAAATGAATATTATAAAATGGCAATTATTATTATCATGATCATTATCTTTATATCATACTAAGAATGATATAAATACCATCCTTATATAAGTAAGCTTTCCATAAAAATGGAATGAAATTGAATCCATTTGTGAGGAATGCAGAATGTAAGCTGAAACAAAGCTCCACCTGGGCAAAAAGAGAGACTTCTTCAGCACATACTAGGGCAACGATAGCAGTAAGTTAATAATTTACCTCAGGCTCACCAAAATCAGTAGTTTAGTTTTGCTGTTGGAAATCCCAGTGACGTGTCCATTTGCTGTAAAAATGGCCATCCCCTACCACCATTTTGTGACCATTGGCCTTACCAATACTACAAATTACCCTAGTGTTTATTAATTAACTGTTAATGAATCTCTTGGCTCAAGCTAGAAATTGCCAAATTATTGTCCTTTGGGTGGGCATAACATATTGTATCTGTACACACAGAATAGTTTAGAACCATTTAGTCTGATTCAGTTAAAAATCAGTTATTTTGAAAGTATTCAGTTTCCAGATATTCAGGCAAAATCTCAAAATAGTTTATCTGTGTAGTCTTAAGAATTGGCACATGAAGGTTCTTCAGGGTTGGCCAGACTCACATTCTGTCTGCTTGATGACACTAGTGGGCCTTTGGCAGAGAGACACTTTTATCCTGTGTGTGTATCTCAAAGTTAAATTCAAGATCAGTGATCTTGTGGTCAAGGTCACTACCACTAACAGCATTGTTAACAAATATTATTGGATGTCTGTTATGGATGCTAATCCTCTTTGCCCGTACCACCTGGCCAACATATAGGCACAATCCTAACCCAGTTCCCAAGCTAAACAAAGACTGCTTTTAGCAAACACATTTCAGAGAGTTTAATTATTAAATCACGCAGACTGATGAACTGTTTAAGCATTTTACTTCTAGGAGGTGAGGTTTCTTGCAATGGGTGCCTCAGTTGAGTTCTACAGCAAGAGAGCTAAGGGGAGCGTATATAAATCTGGTCTTCTGTTGTCTGGGTGTGTGTGTGTGTGTTTGTGTGTGTGTGCACGTGTGCATTAGTGATGGAGAGATACACCTGTCCCAGGACTCAGGTTTGGTGTCTACTTGAGTTGCTGTCACACAGTCCTGTTATCTTGTGTGACTGTGTAGATAAGCTTTCATGAGGAGCCTAGGCATTTTAAAGTCACATTCACTGGTAGAGTGACCCAAAGCAGCAGTGCCCAGTACTGACTTCTGACCCCCTGTCTGAGAACCAGAGTCCTGTCCCGAGTTGGAGTATCAGCTATGGTCTCTGAAGCTCAATGTTCCTTTTTCCTTCTCCCCAGTTTTTCTACCATGAGTTCTAGCCCGTAAGGCAAACATTGGCTTTGGCTTCTTTACAGGGCCTTCTAGTGCTCTCTCTTGTCTGGTTCTACTCTCCTTCCTGGGCACGTGGGATAACTTTGTTTCCCAGCCACTTTTCACTCAGGTGTGCCACTGATGAGTTCTAACCACTGAAATGTGAATGACACCAATGTGTGTCACTCATAGGCCAAAATATTTAAGAGCCAGTATACCATACCATCATCTAAATTCTTTCTCCTCCCTCAACATGTAGTAAGTGCTCAGTAAATGACAACCATTGGGATTATGATTCAGTAGAGAAATGTGAAGACATTCCTTGCTAAAGGGATGGCTTGAGAAAGTATGTGGAAGCAAGAATAGGGTTATTTGTTGCTTATTTGAAGAATGGAAAGAGATCAACTTAAATAGAGCAGAGGAGTGAGCAAAGTAGAAGGGAATGACGTTGAAAGTGTCTAGAACCATGAACCTGGGTTGAATTACCGCCCTTCTTCCATTAGCTGTATGTCCTTGGACAAGTTAGCCTCCCCAAGGATTGGGCTCCTCATCTGTGACATGAGGGGAATATATGATACATATACAGAGTATTCTGAATACTAATGTGGCAAAATTGCTTTATAAGCCAAACAATGTTAAAACAAACTAAACAACACCCCTCCAATTACATTTTAAAACATTGTAGAATGAGTATGAATTTTTCCCTGAATTAGTCCCTTCCTTTCATCCATCCATGCATCCATTCATCCATCCATCCACAATAATTGAATACTCTCTACATATGAAGCACTGCAAGCAATGGTGAGTCACTGAAAGAGAGAGAGAGAGAGAGATTGAGACAACCAGAGTACATGTGTGCTTATGCATGTATTAGGTTGGCCTGTTGGAGTGAACTGTCTGTTTTCCTGGAACTGAGGAGTTTCCTGAGACATGGGACTTGCATGCTAAATCCAGGAAAGTCCTAGGCAAATTGAGATAAAATGGTTGTGTGTGTGTGTGTGTGTGTGTGTGTGTGTAGTGATATTTGAGAAATTTTGGCAGTAAGATATAGGATGATTTTGCAACAGTGAGAGACTAAAGAAAGTTCATTAGGAGAATATTTCAGTAGCTTAGGTATGAGATAATGAAGCCTACACGGGGAGACTGGGAGAGGTAGCACTGGAGAAGAGGTTGACAGCCATCAGTGCTGTTTTAAAGCAAAATCCAACAGGATCTCCAAATGGATCAGAAGCATCCCAGACCATTGCTTATGTCTGCGTATTGCATTGAAGTGAACCATTTGTTAGCCATCGAAAGGTGTTAAAGTGATACATGGTTTCAAAAGTTTCTAAAGGTATGATAAGTAATTTAAAGACAAAGCTCCAGTTTCCTCTCTCCTTCAAAGTTTTTGGGAAAGAAGATGGGTTAGAGATGGGAGGGGTTGGAGAGGAGGGTAGAGCCCCGGAGGAATGACTAGCACGCTGTCTTCTTCTGCCAATCCCAGTTGCCCTGCTCCCTGCCTGGAGCAACAGGACACAGAGCCCTTGCCAGGATACTGCTCGGTTCTCACTAATGGTAGCAGAGAGGTGGAGACAGGCAGGCCACGTATCCTGTCCCTGCTCTCTCCTTTACGCCACAAAGCCTGGCTATTCCAGGCTGTATCTGAGCATCAGACTTCTGTCAGGATTGAGGATAGCTAACAGGGAGGGACTTTGTGCTATTCTTAATAATATTCCCACCCTAGGAAAAAGCTCCCAGGGAGTTAAAACTCTTCATGTGCTGTTGGGCTCCATGGGAATCCCCATTTCCTAACACCAACCCTTTGTCCCAGGTTAAGGCCTCTCTGAGTACATTCTTCTTCTGTTGTGTTCTCTGTGTCCAACTTTCAGAAAATTTCTGCTCACAGGAGCAGTTAGGGCCATTCCCTAAGGCTGTGTTATTGAGAGCAATTTCCCGGGAGAGTTGCTGTACTGGTAAGTTTACAGTTGCCCTCAGGCATTGTGTTTTTAGCACAGTCTGTGGAAGAGTGGGGTGTGGTAGGGCTGGCTCAGTCTTGATACTCTAAGCCCCATGGTGAAGTCCATGGTGGTCCTCGGCACCCACATGAGGTATTGTTGGAGGTCCCCACACCAGCGTGAGTTGTAGCTTGGACTCTTTCACTCTTCTGATTTTCCAGCTAGTAATTGTTGGAACCCCCCCACCTCAAACACCACATACACACCCAACACACACACACACACACACACACACACACACACACACCCCCTTCCCAAGGACCAATGCAAATTCTCAATTATAGTATAGTCAAATCTCAAATGGTAGCAAAGCATCTTTCTCATGATGAAGCTTCTGCCCATTTTCCTTGATTGGCTTTCAAATCATATGCTTTCAAACCATAATCAGGAAAAGATAAGGCTTCATGCGTGATCTACAAGACTGTGTCTGGTGATCTTCAAATTATGCCCCCATCTGCCAGGTGCAATGGCTCATGCCTGTAATCCCAGCACTTTGGGAAGCCAAGGCGGGGGTGAATCACTTGAGGTCAGGAGTTTGAGACCAGCCTGGCCAACATGGTGAAACTCAGTCTCTACTAAAAATACAAAAATTAACTGGGCATGGTAGCTCACACTTGTAATCCCAGCTACTTGGGAGGGTGAGGCAAGAGAATCTCTTGAACCCGAGAGGTGGATGTTGCAGTGAGCCGAGATCATGCCACTGCATTCCAGCCTGGGTAACAGAGCAAGACTCTGTCTCAAAAAAGAGAAACAAAAATTGTTCCCCCTCTAGCCCACTGGAAATAAAAAATACATGCTATCTCAATCTTCACAAAGACCTAGGGGAAGACTTGGAATTACCATTAACAAGAGCCCAGTTATATTCTTAGGGGCCATTTTCTTCCCCTCTTTCTGGAAAAGGAAGCTGGTTAGGTTCATTTCTCCAGCTACATAACTGGATCCATTCACTTTTATCATCTTAATGCATATCTGATTGCAAAGAATCACAGTACTAGTCTTATTAGACACTTAGGTGTTTAGGATCATGTTAATCATTCTTAACCTGACATAATTCCCCTAAGCTTATTAAAATAGTTACTTATGTGGCTTTAGGTTTACCAACACAATAGTTCATCTAAGTTTCAAACAACAAGAAAGACAATTCTGATGTTCAGAGAAATGGACCCTTGATGTCTCTCAGCTAGTAACTGGAAGTAATTGATCAAACATTTTTACAACTCTCCTAAGGAGCATTCTCTGTTTAAACCCAGAGCAAAGAACTCCCTATTCTCCTTGGAGCAAATAACACTTACTTTACAAACAAGATTAGAGACGATTTAAAAATGGGAAAATGGTTGTGTTGGAATTTGTTTTTTATTTTCTGCTCCATGAGACACTCCCTCTTCCCCTGCACTATTCAGATTGGAAGTCAGAAAGGGAGGTCAGCTGGCTGATCTGTGAGTTATTGAAGTTTTGGCTTACAAAGGAAATCTGATCTCTGTCTAAGTGGCACTAATGTGTGGGCTGAGAGCTGCTACTGTAAATTCAGCAAGGGATTCATTAATGCCGTGAGCCTCCTGGAGCGCTGTAGATGGGTGACCTCTGAAATAAAAGCATAATCAGGAAAAGATAAGGCTTCATGCATGATCTGCAAGACTGTTTCTGGTGATCTTCA